AGGTGACTGGTTGAAAATCTGACACCTGCTTTAGCGCTAAGATGAGGCTACGATGCTCATTAAACGCTCAAATACTGGTAGAACTCACATCTCCGAACAGCCTACCCGTAATTGAGGTGTTACGCGGATTCACGAGAAAGCCATCCTTCAGAATACTCATTAAGTTCACAGCTTTCGTGCCATGCCAAAGGAACCTGAGATCAGAAGCGCTTAAGTTATCAATTCATACCATCGTAAGAAGCATTCGACTCACATTTGATTGTCGTCATCAACGAAATCACCAAAGTTCAAAGTGGCTTCTCGTGGGGTTATTTCCAGAATTCCCTGAAAATGTGGCATTGAAAATCCTAAAATATGGTACAAAAAGTCCATGAAAATAGTAAACATGTCTTCTCGAACCTTGATCTTCCAACAAGAACCGCCCGTCACGTGGATATACCGAAGTATTTTTTGGCTCATATCGGCCGTCGGACTCATCTCAGTGAACCGGCATTCCAACGCTGATATTATGTAGCTAGAAACAATAGATATACGCAGTGTTCCCGCAACGAGAAAAGGACTATTCTTTCAAACATTACCTGATTCTATCAACGTCTTTCCGATGGGCAGCGCCAGTGAGAAGACGTGTTGCTACCTCGACTTCGGCCATACGGTTCAAAGTTTCGCGAGCACGATTAATGTCATCTTTCTGCAAGTATGTATTTACACTGGTGTGCAAAACTTAGGGACGAACGTAACTTTTCCGTGATGTGTTACTGTCGAGTAGCACAGCTTGATAGAGTTTAACCATAAATTAAATAAAACTACAGCCATAAGCTAAACTACAGTATAGTGACCACATAAATGGAGCCACTTTGAAGTCCGTAGAATTGTTAATGAGTTATGGTACTTCTTCTATACGTCCTCTACTTTGTAGACCAGTGCATTACGGTAGCAATATGAAGGCAGAGGAGAGAAGGCTCAAAAAGATTTTCAAAGGCAGTGATCACGACGGGTGGAGGGTGGTGCGGTTTCGATGACGACATTGAATGCCGCTGGTGGAAGAAAGTTAGGAGGCCATCTCAATCAGACCGCTTAGGTGTTTGTGACGTCATCAAAACCGCCCCGCCCTCCTGCCATCGTGATCCCTGCCTTCGAAATCCTTATCTGGTAAAAAATAAAATAAAAACCCACAGTATCGAAGATCTTCACTGTGCCGTATTCGAAATCTGCGATCGGGAACGTGTTGTAAAATTCGCCAGAAAGGGTTCGCTGAAAGTTCTGGCCCATATGAAGAGGATAAGGTTAGCGAATCGCAAAATGGGCAGCAAACTTACACTTGTCTCGAAAACTTGTAACACATCAACATCAGTGTGGTTCTCCTTGGCTAAGACCTTCTCGAGCTCATCCACGTTCTTCTCACAGTCGTCCAGTATGGCGCGAGCTCTCTCGATTGCCGCCTCGCTGATATGGCCGAATGGACATGCCATGGATCGATCCAT